TATTTAAAATTTATAATAAAAATTTAAATAAAATTTTATTTACAAGATTCATTAAATTTTTTAATTAAATCATCAATAGTTGGTTTTTTATTCATTAAAATTTTACAATAAGAAATTCTTAACAAACCATTAAAACTTGAATCTTTAAATAAAAGTACTAAAAATTTTCTATAAAAATTAGAATTTTTTAGAAGTAAATAAGGGCTTAAAATAACTGCATCTTTTAAATATTTAAGCATCTTTAAATCAAATTCATTTTTAAGATCTTCTAAATCATTTTTACAAATTTTACAGAATGATAGGAATTGATTATGATTGTATTCAGGAAGATTGATTTTTTCAAGTTCTTCAATGTAATTGTTATGGTGTTCTTTTTTTATATAAATCTTTTTTTCTATACAATTTACAATGTACTCTCTAATGGGAATGTATTTCTTAAACTTTTTTAATATTAAACATCCAAGTGAAATTGCTTTATTAAAATTATTGTCTTTATTGTTTAAATAATTCTTTTCTATTTCATTGAATGAACTATTTTTAAAAACAACATCATATTCAAGCATTTCATTTAAGGTTTCAGTCTTATCTTTAGAAAACTTTTTATTAGGAATTATAGAATATTCTAATTCTTTAAAAGTTTTTAATTCTAATAAATCAAATATGTAACCATACAAATACGTAAGTATGGTATTTATTTCATTTTTATCTAAAGTAATTTTAATTGTTGTTTTTAAAGCTAATAAATATACAACTAATGATCTTGAATCTACCTTAATATTTTCATCTTCTTCAGAATAAAAATATTATCATTTTCTCTTTCCTGTTTAAGTGCAACATTTAAAAATAAAGTTATTGAAATTGGAAATATTGTAAAATAATCAGATTTCATCAATAATTGATGATTTACATCACTTTCTCTAATTGAATTTACATCCTCTTTATTACTCTCATAGTATTCAATTATTAAATCATCAATATTATCACTGCTAATAAACTTTAAAATATCTAATCTCATTAGGGGTTAAATTTTATTTAATTTTATTTGATTAATTAACCTTAATTTTAATTTCCTTAAAATACCACTCACATCACTTACTTTATAGTTTTCATTTAATACCTCTTTTAGTTCTTTATAAATTTCCAAATTACACCTTATGACACAAATTTTATTTTCTTCATAATTCTCTACCACATTTATAAAATCCAATTTAGACATTAAAAGAAGTCCAAATTTTTCTTTCAATCTTTCTTTACAAATTACAACAACATCATTAATAAATTTGTATTTAAAAGCAATATATCTTTTCTTTTTAACAGTCATAAAAAATTTAATAAAAATTAATAAAAATTCTATTTTATTTAATGTTTTTTTCTCTTAGCAAATTGACGATACCTCTGATCAAATGAATATTCCATTGCTAAGTTTAAACACGACTCATCAAAGATATTAATTTTATCTCTAATTTTATCAAATTTACAAGGTCTAAATATTTTACCACAGAAAATATTATTAGCACAGTAATCATAAGAATTAACTATCAAGTTAGAGTGTTTTTTAATATACTCTTCATCACAGGTATAAAGAGTGTATAACCCACATAGATTTCTATCAAGATCAGGTAAATCAAGATTATTACTTTCTTCATTGTAAAACTTTTTTACTTTATCAATTTCCATTTCGGGTAATATTGGCACAGCTTGCCAATCCATAATCTTTTGGAAATCATCAGTTTTAAATTGAAGATCACTAAAATCAAATACCTCCCATAAAAAATGATTTTTAGTATCTAGAGAATTATAAATCTCAATGTAGTCATATTTGAAATCCCCTTTATCAGACTTTAAATCAATTTTATCATAGTAAGGAGATTTAAGCTTAATACTTTCATTATCAAAGTAAAATTTTCTTAGCCTTTCAGGTAATAAATGCATAGAT